TTTCCCTTTTCCTGCTGCTTTCCATTTATGTTTTTGTTTAAATCATTCACTTGAATATTAGAGGTCTCAAATTTCTCCACAACAAAAAAAAAGCAAATAAGAACCTAAAACCTTACTAGGTTAGGACAAAAAAAAAAAGTCAAGTTACACAAAAATGTGTGAAGGTTTTGTATACAAAAATAACCACAGTTTATTCCAGAGTAGACCTCATAAAGAAAAGAGGCTAAATATCTTCAAAGGTTTTGGATAAAGTTTCAACCTTTTGGATAGTTTCAACCTTTTATTTTCTCTCAGGTACTGCACTATAGAGAATAAATGTTTTCCATTCCTGGAGCAGGTTGGCCAGTTTGAAATCTGCAGCGACAATCAAGCCAGTAAGATAAAAAAATACATTTAGTGAAGATACGAAGGAAGTTGTCACCATTGCTACGCTAGTGCTATGTGCAATTATACTTTCAGTGTTGAAGTATTTTGGAAAATAGAATGAGAAAAGGAGAAAGTAGTTGCTAAAACTCAAGAGCTTCTATCTGATATTCAGGTCTCCAAGAATGTTTGAGAAACACCTGTACCATTCAGCTAGATGCACTTTAGATACCTAAGAAAACAGAAAAATCAATTGTATCACTTATAACAGTTTGAAAATAAATTTCGAAAGATTAACCAAATTCCTTGCTCCCAAAATTGGTCTTCTAAAAGGGAGTCAAAATTGCAAAATACAGTCTTACCTCCTTCAATGCTATTTTGATTTTGATTGCTCACTTACTGCCATTCCCCATGCAAAACGCTCTATGAAGTTACAAAGAGCAGGTGGGTCAGTACTCTAGTGGTACATGACAAAGTCTTGGTACCCACAAAAAGTGGTTTTGTATGCTATTATGTGTATTACAGATACAGCTAGAAAGCCAGTTTATTTAAGCGGCAGGTAAACCAAGAGCAACAATTGCACATGGCCAAAATGTTGTGTGTTGTTTTTTTTAAATCAGCATTCTTTTTTTCTTTTTTTTTTTTGGGGGGGGAGCTTCCTGAAATAGCCAATGGCTTCCTGAAATCGTTGCAATTTGTCCGTAACAATATTTTATTTAGTCTGGTGTTCAGTGAGATACCTGAATTCTTGTGCAGATTCAGAGCAATAACTATTTTGTTCAGGTGAGGCTGACTTGAATTGGTTTCAAGTGCTAGAATAACCTTCTGGTAATTATGCTTTATGTTTGAAGACTTATATACTACGGGCCTTCAGGACCTTCACTTCCACTTAAAAACAGTTTTGCTTGTATTTCGGTGTGCATTCACAGAGAATATGCAATACTATGAGGGCTGATCTCAGAATAAGCACTTGAGGTGAACTGAGTGTCAGCAAACAGGTAAGACCCTAGAAACCAGCTGCCCACCCAACAAAATGTATACATTTTCTATAATATTATTCAGAATGCAAGAAGAAACTGCTGAGTTACTATTATTCTGAAGTTACAAATAACCTTGACCACAAATGGGAACTTTCTTGAACTGTGGGTTTCTTTTGCTCTAATTATCACTTCCTGGTATGCTGCAGAGTTCACACAAAATAAATGCTCCAGTGCAGGAGTGACAAATAAATGCTCCAGTGCAGGAGTGACAAATACTACTATTAGTATACTGCTATTACTATATTAGACTTTAGTATGATGGTACAGATATGGACTAGCTGATTCAGTTGTCTTCAATTTATTTCAGATTCTACTGTGATAAGTTAGCTATCAGACACTAGATATTACACTGAGCATTCTGGATTCTAAACATATTCTTACTGATTCTTCACAGGTTGGCGTGCCCAAACACTAGTATGTGTGTTAGGAATTGCATGATCGCTGGCAAACTCTTTACCCCAGATTAAGTTTGGTACTATTAATTTTTTAAAAATTCCTGTTTCTAGTACTAAATGATAAAAATTCCATACAAGGAAAAATCCACCTAGCCTTCTGTGTATTTCTTTTAGTTAGTGCTCTACGTGATCCAGATGGCATCTTGGATTAAAGCTCCTGATCCTTCAGACAGCAGATTCTTTCAGGTTTAAATTCCTGATAATAATATAGCTAATAGTAGAATTAAACCACAGAACTTTGGAAAGTTGTCCCAAACCCTGAATGTAGATTAGCAGAAGTGGGAATGACATGCTAAAACAGGCATCTAGTGGAAGCTGTTTACTGTATGAAAGAACCACATTTTAGAAAATGTTATAATTGTACAATTGTGATTTGCATACCAGATCTAACAAAAAATATTTAAAGTGTTTTGACCTCTCAGTAATTATTCAAAATTCAGTTCTGTTCAGTTCTGTTACATTAGTATACCAATTTCTCAATAATATCACAGGGCTTAATTCAAAGCCTGATAAAATTAATTGTGGTTTTTTATTGACTTCCATGGGCTTTCTTTGTGCCCTCACTAACAGAAAAACATAATATTCCATTAAAGACTGCTTTAAAAAAAACGGATATAGTCAAGTAACGAAAAGCTCTCCAGTGTGGTGAAGGTACATAAGCACCAATACTGGCTTCCAGAGCTACTGTGGTATCTCTGAAATTGTTAAAAACAATGACATTCAGAAGATGGACATAGATAATGTGACATCTGGAAATGTTGCATGGGGAAGGAAGAGATCAAATGTTATTCATATTTTTTAAAAAATACAAAGACAGGAAAGAAAGTCAACCTTCTCAGATATTATGAACAGTTACAAAGTTTTCAGATTAAAACATACTGACAGCGTTCGCTTAAATATAATGTACATTTCAAATGAGGAAGTAAAATTTTAAAAAAGATTGCAAATAATCCTTGACAACTCAATTTCAGTACCAACCTAACTACTGTTGTGTACGAAGTCCATTAATCTTGAACAGACAGGTTGTACAGCAGCAGCTTGCAACAGAATCTTCCCCCTATCCAGCTAGGAAGAGTTTGGGGGCAAGATTCATTTACTGTATTGCAAATATTTTTACACATGAAGCAAGATCTTGCAAATGTTTAATCTTTTTCTTGAAATAACTGTCATATGGCCAGAAATCAGAGATTCACATGGTACCAATGTTAAGCACTATTTTTATAAACTGGAACCGTTGTACACAATAACTGTGAAAACAACTGATTCAGTTATACTCCAAAGTGTTATATGGGTACCCTCAATGAAACAGAGGCTAGGGAGTTGCCCATTTTTCTCATCGTAACGATCTTTAACACAATTGATGGTGTTTTTAAAGCCATTGTCCATTGAAGCCCAACAAATATCAAATAATTTTACTCTCAGAATTTCCCATAATTAGATCATGAGTGGCTCTGCTGGAGCCACGAGAACCAAACAGAAATCAGGAATTTACAAGAGACATTTCCTCATTCTATACGTATGTATCACTAACACCGTCTTAGAAACTGCAGAAGCAATATTAACTGTGATGGGAGAGATTTAAGGCTCTGTTTAGATGTCACGGCCAAACCAGGATTTTTGGCCACTGGGAACTTAAGGCTCCTGCTTCAAGCCACAACTTACCATTCTGGTTCAGTTGCAAGCTATGGTTTGAGATAATTACATAAATCTGGCCAATTTGAATGTCACAGCAAACTGTTACTACCTAGAACTGGAAGGAGTGTGCAAGGGAAGAAAGGCGCATGCGAGCACAGAGCACATTCCTGATGACAGTCATGACATCTGAATTGAACCTTACTCTAATGAGCCTTTCAGATACTTTATTTCAAGGAGACAACTTGCTCCAGCCAGTCTTCATTTTATGGTAAGGCTGAATGTTCAGAGAAATATTTTTTTAAAAAAACAAAAAACCCACAAAATCCGTAACATATCTTGCCCTTCTGGGTTCATGGCTTATCAAGAAGGAATTAAAGAAGTTAGGTTTTTGGACCCTTACAGCACTCCATAGTGCTAAAGATTTCATATCATATATAATTCTAGGTAGTGAAATTACATTTTGAGATGAACAGCTGAAGGATGGCACGGAATTGCAAACATGATGCTACTCACTGCACTGAAAAGGTTAATGTTTTATATATCCCACCCCCCCCCCAATATAAAATGTAAAAACTATCACTTGGAAAATATACAATAACACAAATCTTGCAGGGGTGTGAAGCTCAAGGCCTGGGAGACAAATTACCCCCTTCCTTCATCAAAAATGGTTCAGTTTAACCAGCAGCATATACATTTGCGTTGGTTTAGTTTGGCTTGTAACTAATAGAAAATTCCCTGCTTCCATATTCTTGAATTCCTGCCACTTTGTTCCCACTGCAACCTCCTATTTGGTGGATGCAGGATGAAACCATACAGGTAATCTTTAAAGTGCCAACACATTGAACAAGTGGGATCAGAGCAGCAGAAGACAGCACCGCGGATCTGACCATGGTGGTAAGACATCAGACCCCAGTTCAGGATTCTGGATCTTGAAATCAAAATGTGCATGGCTTTTGGCTAGAAGAGTTTGACACTCACAGTCTAGCCATTGCATCCAATGCCCCAACATTAACAAAAAAAGTTCGTATAAATCAATAATTTACACCTTTTGAATCATTATTGCTTCAGCAAACAGTTCAATCTAGAAATACACATCAGTTGTGTATGACCTGGGCATAAATCAGGAGATACTGAAAATAAAACTACACATGAACGTTTCTGTTACACTCATACTGACATAATACTTTGCAACATAAAGAACGGCTGCAAACACATACACAGCAACTTAATGCCAAGAGTCTAGACCAGTTCTGAAGACCCAAACCTTGCCTTAGATTTCTCACCTAACATGTTTATTTGTTTTTAAATTAAGGCAATGAAATGGCTACAGTTCCTAAAGTTCATTTCAGGGGAAACAAAAATATACACCTTTCTTCTTTCTGAACTTTAGGCAGCAGCATATAATGTAGAAACTTGTATTACACAAAAACATGCAACACCAGGTTGATGTAAAAACAAAAACAAAACCCCAAAAAACTAAATCCAAGTTAAAAAATATCATTTGGTGGTTTTCTTTTTCTTCTTCTTCTGGATCATACACTCCATTTTCAGAGGAAAAAATAAAGCTTAGAATTGTTTTACAGTTCTGTATGTGCTTACACCACACACTAGAAGGGTTTATAGCAACAAAAAAAACACAATCTTTTCGAAGTCCGAATGGTCACTATTTGAGGGCCATTTGGGGCAAGGCACTGGTTCTTGTTTTTAACTGTGCCCGTTATCTGTATGCACTTGTGGAATTCTTTGTAAGATTTCAGTTTCTGTTTATTCTGTACAACATAGAAAGGTATGACAAGACTGTGGCTAAAACACATTAGCAGAAGCTGATTTTAAAGCTGTCCTCTCCTATTCCACTCTGCTATACCAAAACTTCCAGGCTCTCTAAAATCTTAGGATGGCTGAGAAAACCCCCCCAGAAACAGGCATTAAGATTAAGTCAGCTTTCAGCATTTCTCAGTGCATTTTGCAGAAAGGGTCTAAGTTAGGCATACAGTTCTGGTGTTTTATTTTACACAGAGGAGTCCACCAACATTTGACATAAAATCTTCTAAACTTTTAACGAAGGCCATCTTCTGCTTACGGTCCAGCGTAGGCGGAGTGCTGCTTGCAGTAAGCTTGTTGAAGGCATCTGCTAACCGCTGGTAAATGATGGGATCTTGTTGGCTTGATAATAACGTTTCAACTAATTCGGAATATTCAGCCTGTGAAGGAAAGGAATTATATTTTCAATATGACAAAATGGGTTGCATCCAGACTAAATCTTTCCAATAGAAGAACTGCGAGTTATATACAGCAGCTGCTGCTAATATATAATACAATGAAGGATTTATATAGTTAGTTTCAAATTTCAAACCACTTCACTTATTTATCTTAGGCCCCGGTCACACAGGCAGGAAACTGCAGAGGAGAAGCGTGGCTGTTTGCCCTGGGGCAAACTACTGCGCAGTTACGTGATCAGACCTCCTGTGGAGGTCCTGTGGAGGTACCGTGGAGGTTCCATGGCAAGGGAGAGGTGCCGATCACAGGACAAGCCGGCGCACAACGAAGAAGCGCGCGCCACGGCAAACTGTTTTTTATTTTTGTGTACATGACAAATGCGCATGCTCCGTTGGGTGCGCATGCGCATCCACAGAGACTTGGACAAAAACCCCCCCACCTTATTTGCAAGGGGACATGGGCGGGCGCCGGATGCCACCGGAAACGCGATCAGACGCCTGCCCTTGCCCCGCAGTTTCCGGAAACTAGTACCTCCAAGGTACTAGTTTTTTGCCACGCAGTTTCGGCTAGAAGCCTCGGTTGAGCCACGGGAGTGCTACGCTTCCCAGATGTGCTGGTGAGATCGCGCCCGGAAACTCCGGCTGTTTTCCATCTCACTTGTGTGGCTTCTGTTACGTGTGACCGCAGCCTATGTTATTCTTACAGCAGCCATTTAAGGAGAGCTGCTGTTATCTTACTTGTCAGGTGTCAAAGGTCAGACAGATAATAGCTTGCCAGACTCATGACTCAGAGGACTATCTGACACTTCTATCCACGTGGGGGAGAGCTTTTAATCCCTCCTAACACAGTCCATTCCTAAACCACCCTTGAAGATTGGGAGACCCTAATGATCAACACTTCAAGAGGCAGGAGGAACTACTGCTGAAAGGGAAAATGGACAAACACCTGCCACCCACTCATTCCCTTGCAGAGACATTTGAAATTCAAGCTCCTCTGAGTCCTAGAAGAATGAGCTATTCTGGAAGTGCTTATTGAACATTACTGGTGAAAACTAGAATAATATCTATTACTGCAGTTCACTTCATTAACCTGATATATTTTAGTAGCTAGTAACTGATAAATGGTTTTTGCAAGGTCTTGCAAGGTATGATAATATAAAAGTAACCTACCTGATGCAAGCATACTAATGTGTAAAATGCTTCACCTGCTGCAGCTGTCATCTCTGTATTGTGCTTTTGCAGTACAAGCATATCAAAAACCATCTGAAATTACAAATAAATATATCCAAGGGGGATGTAGTAGTTGAAATCAGATTATCGGATCCGTTAAATACTTTTCACTGTGTTTTAAGTAACAGTTTGGTTCCTTGTAAAGATAAAATCAATTTTATTTGATGGCAAAAATAAACTATAGGTCTCCTCAAGTTAATTGGGCAGCATATACATTTTACAAAAATTCTTACAAAAATAGAGTGCAACAGAAGAGGCATCCCAGTCTAAAACATAGGTAAATGCTTCTTATTATATGTTACCTATTGTGACAATACAAAGTTAGACAGATTTAATCTGATCACACTTGCAACTAAACTTCATTACAGTGCTGTGGAGGGGGAGGGGTCTGAAAGCACTCAAGCAGCCAACTAAGCCTCACATTGGCATTTTTGGAGTTATGCCTATACAGGGCTATTTTTGGGCAGGAACGCACAGGAACGGAGTTCCGGCTGGCATCAGAGTTGGCCACGCCCACTACAGCCAAAACCTTTGTGTGCGTGGCTACAGAGGGAAGGCCCGAAGATCAACACCCTCACGCCCAGTGACTCCGAGGCGGCCCGGCCAGGGAGGCCCTGGAAAGATCGGGGAGGCATTTAAATGCCTCCCTTTGCCTTCCCCGGCCTGTCCAAGGGCCAACTTGCCCAGGCTCTCCGCAGCTTTAAACTGCCTTCCCTTCCCTTCAAGGGGGGGGGGGGGCAAGTCAAGGGAAGGCAGGGTATGTGGCACAATATGCTAATGAGCTGTGCTGTCAGGGGTGTGGCCTAATATGCTAATACGTTCCTGCTGGGCTTTTTCTACAAAAAAAGCTCTGTGCCTATATATCCCAGAGTTATGATAGCATAGTTCTCTAGAGCAGCACAGCATTGTCCAGCCACCAACAAACCCCTAGAAATATGCTGGGGCACCCATCATGCTGATACAGCAAAGGACAGTCCCAGGACATGGCTGGAGTTAGTTGGCTCTTTAAGCTTCCAGCCCAGGAATGC